CGCCGCGAACGTCGGAGTGAGAGCAATAAGTCTAGGGCCATCAATCACTGATAACACTAAACTGATGAGCGGTAAAAGCTTTTAAAGCGTCGCCCATGGCCAATTTTGGGTATGGTAGTTTTCTGCGATGTCGCAGGTGCGCACAATTTTAAAGCTTGACATGTTTGCTGTCTATTTAACCGACGTGACCCCGACTTTTATATTTTACCAAAAAACTGGGTAATAAGTGTTTCCTAACATAATGTAAAAAAAAAACTTTTTTTTTTTTTTAAATTTTCAGTAATTTTTCCTAATTATAGTAAAAAGGAAGAACCAATAACAGCATCAGAAATTAAAACGGTAATAAAGCAGGCAAAGGTATCTTCGGCGCCGGGGCCAGACGGCTTGCCGATCTTGTATTACAAGAAATTTTCAGAGGTTCTAGTACCCCGATTGGAAACATTATTTAATAATCTTAGAGGGGGAGGGTGTCTAAACATGGATCTTAATAGAGCATTCTTGTCATTGATTCCCAAACCGAATAAGGACCCAGGGGAGGTCTCAAATTACAGGCCAATATCCCTAATTAATAATGACTTGAAAATTTTAACTAAAATCCTTGCCAATAGATTAAAAGACCTTTTTACCGTTATACATACATAAAGATCAGGTGGGCTTCATTACGGGCCGACAGGGCCCAGACCAGATTAGAAGAGCGATTGATAGAATGACAATACTACACTCACAATGGGATGGGAACTTGGCCCAAAGGGGCATGTTCCTATCGATTGACCTTCAGAAAGCATTTGACTCAGTGTCCTGGCACTATTTAATCCCAGTGCTGGAGAGATGGGGATTTGGCTCACATTTCCTAGGAATACTGAGAGCACTATATGATCATCCATCTGCTCATATAAAAATGCAGGGGTTCCTCTCAGAGACTATTCCTATATCTCAGGGAACCAGACAAGGATGTCCGCTATCCCCACTGTTATTCACGTTGGCGATTGAACCATTGGCAATCGCCATACGTGAAAACATAAACATTAAAAAGGAGTCTACTGTGGTCAGCAGGAACATAAATGTGCGTTATTCGCTGATGACCTGTTACTATTTGTAACCTCTCCTGTAACAACGTTACCAAATGTGATGAAACTGCTGGATTGCTTCTCCAAAATATCCGGACTACGGGTTAATACGGCTAAATCCCTTGCTCTAAATATAAATGTACCTCAAGATATATGGGACAACATGAAGGAGCACTTTGTATTTAATTGGGCAGATGATGCTATCCAATACCTGGGAATTCAGATTACAGCATCCTTTGACCAATTGTATAGGAAAAACTATAATCATTTATTTGGGCAGTTGCAGGAAGACCTAACTAGATGGAAGCTATATAACCTATCGTGGATGGGCCGTATTAATGCTGTAAAAATGACCCTTTTACCTAAAATTTTATACTATTTTCGAGCGCTCCCCATAGCTGCAAATAGATCTGATATGTCAAAATTTCAATCATGTATCCTTAAATTTATTTGGGATAATAAGCGGCCTAGACTATCAAAAAATTTATTGTATAGATCAAAGCAGTCGGGAGGACTAGGGGTTCCCAAACTATACCAATACTATAAAGGCGGCACGGATGGCACAGCTTTCTATGGTTTACAATAGGGGATATACACCAGACTGGGTCTCAATGGAACCCGTCTGCCTCGGGCCTATCCATTGATATATTAAAGTGGATGACTCCGAGGCAGAGACCGGCGGTCTTGGCTCCAACGTTGTCTCAATCTCTGGTAATATGGGACTCAGTGAAGGGGAGCAGAGACTTTATTTCATCATACACCCCCCTGGCACCAATCTTTCATAACCCCAGGTTTATCCCAGGGATGCAATATGAAGCGTTTCATTGGTGGCAGGACAAAGGCCTGTATCGTATAGCACAATACTTTCGAGATCGCCAAGAGGTACTCCACATGCCGAATTCTGAAATGTTTAGATTCTGTCAGTTAAGTCATTTTTTGGCCTCCTTACAGACACCTGATCGAGAGAGGTCGTTTGTAACGGCATCTGAAAGATGGTGTCTAGATGAGAAGGGTCAGAGAGGTGGAATAGCACTGATCTATTCATACTTGGTAGAATCGGAGGTAAAATTATCATACATGATAAAATGGGAACGGGACTTAGTAATGGATATCTCTATCGAGGCCTGGCAAAGGTGCTGCACCCGGGGATTTTCAGGACTTCTAAACATTTCATTAATGGAGGCAAACTATAAAGTAACGTCCCGGTGGTATTTAGTTCCATCCAGATTGGCTAAAATATATCCAGACGTGTCTACGGCGTGTTTTAGGGGCTGCACTGCACCTGGTACTATGTATCATACTTGGTGGCAATGCCCCAAACTTAGACCCTTCTGGAATAGGTTTTATGCCCTTATATATAGAGTAATTAATATTTATATTCCCAGGGAAGCTCAATATATATTGCTGAACTACCCAATCCCAGGGCTATCAAAAGCCCAGGATAGACTAATCTACTTCTCTACTGGCGGCTAAAACCACTATTGACAAGGCCTGGAAACAATCAAAGATCTCCTTTAAACAATTTAAAATTAAAATATCATGGATTATGATACACGAGAAATTAAATAATATACTCCAAGATAAAGAACAAAGATTTGAAGCAATATGGTCTCCTTGGATGAAATATCATAACATGTAGTTGATAAAATGAACTAAGATAATGCACGTGAAGAGGGATGAGAGGGAACCCATAAGGAGTCATTTTATGTAATCTGTAAGGAGGGTGGGGGGAGAGGGGAGAGGAGACCTAATTAGTGACTCCTCCCCCTACCCCCATCCCATTATGTAAATTTTGCATTTTTCTCCCTTTTTTTTTTGTGTGTGTTTTTGGTTTTTGTCAATTTTGGTTATTGTTAAGTGGTATATTTGGTCCGGTGATATACCATTAAGAGGGACGGGTTATATCTATGAACGTTTATCATGTAAAAGTAGTAACAGGAGGATGTTGTTAGGAAATGAGTATTATAAAGGAGAAGGACACCAAATGAAAACCCGTAAATAATAATGTTATGCATCACCAGAGCTGTATGTTTTAAGTGTTATATGTAATTAGTATGGTATGTTGTGAATGTTTTATGTATTTATTGTAAAAACAAATAAAAATAATTTAAAAGCTAATTATAGTTAAAAAAATAAAACCTGTAGTGGTGATTAAATACCACCAAAATAAAGCTCTATCGGTCCCCCAAAAAATGGTATAAAATTCATTTCAGTACAGCGTTGCATGACGGAATAAACGTCAAAGTATCGCAGCGCTGAATACTAAAAAATGGCCTGGCCAGGAAGGGGGTCTAAACACCTGGTCTTGAAGTGGTAAATGAGCTAGCTCCTGATGCTCGGCTTAAAATAGCTCACTCACAAAGCAAATCTTTAGAGACCGAGTTGCACCAGATACTGACCCACAACTCTGGATCCAGAAAGCGCTTTGCGGCTAATCAACACAGGTACACTCAGGTGTCGAAAGCACCACAATGCGGAGCCCAGTGCCCAAAGGTCACATTCCTGGCTAGCCCCAGAATCGTTCATACCAGCAGGGTCGGAGTACAGCTTCCAAAAGCTATTACTGAGCATTTTCCATTCTGGATAGCTGTGCAAACGAACAAAAAACTAGAAAAAGAATATTGACTATATATTTTTTTTTTAAAAGGCCCGTAAGAAACAGTTAAGCTTTTCTCAGTAGAGAAAATATGTCCATTATACTAAAACACGTGCAAAAAAAAATATGGAGGCATGTTGGGAGTGGAAGAGGTTATAACAGGCTGGTCACTTTTTTGATTGACACTGTCTAAAATCCTACTGTAGATAACAGTATAACCCAATTGCCTCTAAATCCTGTGTTCCTCAATAAAAGAGAAAGAAATACATCTTACCTTTTCCATTTAATGCTAAAGCAGATGATGCTGTAACGGTCAATGGCAACTGAATTTGTGGCACTAGTAATGGGGGCCTTGGTCTGCTTCCCATTCGGGCCCTTTCTGCACCAGGTCCCAATAAAGCACCAACTGGCTTCTCAGCAGTTACTTCAGGCGCAACAGAATCCTGTTCTTGCTCAATGTGATTTAGCTTTTCTCCCGACTCACTCTCAAATCCATCTACTGAATTCCTATTTTTTATTGGACTTTTAGGTACAAGTATTTTAATAGATGACCGAGAGAGGTCCATATTTTTCCTGACTGGAATTACTTGAGGACTTTTCCGTAATTTTGGACTAGTAGAAAGTGAGGTGTTTCTAGATTCACTGTCCTTACTAAGAGTTAATGATTTTGGAGAAGTTCTTGAAATAGAGCTATTAGTTGATCTGGAGATTTGTTTTCTGGCATTATTTGGAGATGTTCTATTTGCCTTTGTAATTGTGCCACCGTCTTTTAGCTTTTCATTGTGTCTCCTGTTAAATTCAAGGATGTATTGCTCACAGTTCACTAAATGTTGTTCTGGTTCCCAGGTGTCATCGCCACTATCATATCCTTTCCAGTGCACCAGATATTCAGTTTTACCCTTTTTATTTTTCCTTTTGTCGACAATTCTTTCAACCTGGTAGGGAGAAAAAAAAAAGAAGAAAAATCAGGACCGCATTTTAAAAAGGTGTATATAAATGTACAAACCTAGTGCCTTTTATATGGGTCCCCTTATGTTCACAAGTACAAACATTTGAGGCTCCTGTGAAAACTACATTGCAGTATACTTAGTAATTCTTACCCCTTTGAATGCCAAGGATTTAACCCTTTCGCTGCCAAGCCCTCCGGAACATTTTTCAAATCAGCTGGCCAAGCTTAGACTGAAGGAGGAAAGGACCTCCGAGATACTGCAGGTGCCGAGAGCCACTCCAGAGACAGCGAAAGTTGAGGGATCTTAACAAGTGGCTCCGAGGCTAGTGTCAGAAGGAGGGCTTTGGGTTCCTGGAGAACTGGGCTGACTTCTCAGTCGGCTACCGGCTCTACAGCTGAGACGGCAACACCAGGATCGGGAAGGTGTAGCGTTTCTGGGGGAAAGACTGGAGGAGCATTTAAACTAAATAACAGGGGGAGGGCATAAATATAAATTAAATAACAAGTTCAACAACAAAATCAATAGAAATAATGCAGCTAACATAGCAACTTGTATGGGCGAAGTTAAACATATTAGAAATGATCCACCTATAGCTAGGCAAAATACAAAACGTAGCGGAGAATCGGATAATACTTTGTATTCCAAAAGTAGGTCAAAAATTAAATGTATGTACACCAATGCTAGAAGCTTAGCAAATAAAATAGAAGAGCTAGAAATTATGATACTCGAAGAAAACTTTGATATAGTGGGAATAACGGAAACCTGGCTAGATAACACACGACTGGGCCACTAACATAGAAGGGTACAACGTGTTCAGGAGGGACAGGTGTGGGAGAAGGGGGGGGGGAGGAGTTTGCATTTATGTTAAAAATTATTTAAGGGTGCATAGAAGGGATGACATAGCGTTAAAATGGCAGGGAAGACGTGGAATCGCTGTGGCTAGAACTTGAAAGGTCGGAGGCTAGCCGTAAACGTATTGTTGGTGTTGGTTATAAACCTCCAGATATAGGGCGGGAGGCTCAGCTACACTGCCAGCAAGAAACAGCGGGGAAGCAGGGTAATGTCATTGTTATGGGCGACTTCAATTATCCAGACAAACTGGGCAAGCGGAACATCCCATTTGTTAAAAGATCAAAAACTAAGCCGGTATGGATAAAGAGATCAGTAAAGCAACTCATCAAGGACAAGAGAGTGGCATTTATAAAATATAACATGGAAGGGACGTCATTGGCATTCACTAATTACAAAGAATGTAACAAAAGATGCAAGAAAATAATTCGGGAAGCTAAAATAGAGTGTGAAAAACATATCGCCACAGTTAGTAAAAAGAATCCCAAATTTTTTTACCAGTACATAAATAGTAAAAGAGTAAGAAAGGAGCAGATAGGCCCATTAATGGATGATAAAAGCGCATTAATGGATGATAAAAGCTAAGGAACACATCAGATCTCAATGGGGAAAGATATCATGCTGGATATTTACTGTATACTGGACAGGGTAATGCGTTAGGAACGAAAGGATGCCACATCGTTTTATGGAAATTAAAAATGATCAACCCACAGAGGGCTGAATTCAAAGACACCCCAAAAATCTGCCATGTTTCAGTGTTTGCTGATGATACCAAAATCGGGAGGGGAATAGTCCCTGAAACTGACGCTATAACATTACAGGGGGATCTGGATAAAATGGGGGAGGGGGCAAACACATGGCAGATGAGGTTTAATGTAGATAAATGGGAGCACTAAAGGGGGCTCCCCTCGTTAAGTCCAAAAGGGAAACAGATTTGAGATCATTTTAGACCACAGGCTGAAAAATAGCTTGCAGTGTCAGGCGGCGGTAAACAAAGCAAGCAGAGTCCTTTCCTGTATTAAGAGGGGAATGTTTTGCAGGGACAAGTCTGTAATTCTGCCACTTTATAGATCACTGGTTCGGCCTCATCTGGAGTATGCACTCCAGTTTTGGGCAGAAGTGAACAGGGGGGATGTCCTTGAACTGGAGAGGGGCCAGAGGAGGGCAACCAAAATCATAAAAGGGTTGGAGGACCCGAGTTATGAGAACAGGCTACTAAAATTAAACATGTTCTCCTCGGAAGTAAGGAGATTAAGGGGGGACATGATTTTCATGTATAAAATGTTTACCGGGGATAGTGACATTAGCAGCAAACTTTTTACAATTAACTCGATGACAAGGAAGAGAGGCCACCACTTAAAATTGGTGGAGATAAAATTTCAGCACAAGGGGCGAAGGGGTTTCTTCTCAGTTAGATCAGTCAAGGTATGGAACTCGCTGCCACATGCTGTGATTTCGGCTGAGAGTGTGGAATCATTCAAGAGGCGATTGGACGATTTCCTCAGGGACCGTAATATACAGGGGTACAAGTACTCTTAAAATTGAAAACACACAAGGGACCTATACATACTACACACCAATATGACCATACACACATACACAAATAGGTTGGACTTGATGGACATGGGTCTTTATTCAACCTCAAATACTATGTAACTATGTAACCTAATGAGACGACGGATGGTGTCCTGGGGAATCTCCTCCCAGATCTGTACCAGGGCATCACTGAGCTACTGAACAGACTGAGGTGCAACCTGACGGCGTCGGACGGACCGAGACAATGTTCCAGAGGTATTTTTTTGGATTCACGTCAGGTGAGCATGGGGGCCATTCAATGGAATCAATTCTTTCATCCTCAAGGAACTGGCTGCATACTCTCGCCACATGAGATCGGGCATTGTCGTGCACCAGGACCCACTGCACCAGCGTAGGGTCTGACAATGTATCCAAGAAATTCATCGCTATACCTAATGGCAATCAGGGTGCCATTGTCTAGCCTGTAGAGGTCTGTGCGCCCATCCATGGATATGCCTCCGCGGACCATCACTGACCCACCATTAAACTAGTCATGCCGAACGATGTTACAGGCAACATAAAATTCTTCATGGCTTCTCCAGACCCTTTCACGTCTGTCACGTGCTCAGTGTGAACCTGCACTCATCTGTGAAAAGCACAGGGCACCAGTGGTGGACCTGCCAATTCTAGTGTTCAATGGCAAATGCCAATCGACCTCCACCGTGCCGGGCAATAAGCACAGGGCCCACTAGAGGATGTCGGGCCCTCAGGCCACCCTCATGAAGTCTTTTTATGATTGTTTGGTCACCAGTGGCCTGCTGGAGGCCATTTTGCAGGGCTGTGGCAGTGCTCATCCTGTTCCTCCTTGCACATAGGAGCAGATACCGGTCCTGCTGATGGGTTAAGGACCTTCTACGGCCCTGTCCAGCTCTCCTAGAGTAACTGCCTGTGTCCTGGAATCTCCTCCATGCTCTTGAGACTGTGCTGGGAGACACAGCAAACCCTTCTGGCAATGGCACGTATTGATGTGCCATCCTGGAGGAGTTGGCATGCCTGTGCAACCTCTATAGGGTCCAGGTATCGCCTCATACCAGCAGTGACACTGACTCCATTGAAAATGCATTGGACGAGCTACATTGAGCGATTTTTGAGCGGAAAGTACTCTACAAATTGCTCAGTGTGAATGGGGTCTTAAAAGAGAACATGTTACTTGCACTTGGACATCACATGGGGAGCTTGTCAGCTCCCTTGTGATAACAAATTTGATCAAATAAAAGTTGTAAAAATAAAAAAAATAAAAAATGATGCATATGGCCTAGACAAAACTAATATTGCCAATGGTTATTGTAGTTTAAACTTTCTAAATGAGAAATTACACACAGATGATTGCAAAGCCTAACTTTCAGTAATCGGTAGTCATTTCTCCAAAATCGTAATGGTAAACCTTCATAGCACATGAAAGGACAGCTGAAACCTACAGTTGGGCAAAAAAGTATTTAGTCAACCACCAATTGTGCAAGTTCTCCCACTTAAAAAGATGAGAGGCCTGTAATTGGCATCATAGGTAGACCTCAACTATGAGAGACAAAATTACAGTACTTCCTGTGTCATGGCCACAGTTGAAAGCCACATGTAACAAGGACACACAGGTAATCTGCACAGTACGGAGGAAAGGCATCATTTTCTGACCGCACAATACTATAACCGTTCAACTGCTGTTCCTATCATCTGCTGTAACCTGATGTTAAAGAATAAACACCTCTTTTGAATGAATCGGTATTGACGAGTTCAGCTATCTGACAAGGATTGTCCGCAGTGAGTATATCTGCTTATACAGGCCAGGCATAGAGGTCTCAGCAAGGGATATATTTCGCTATCACAACGATCGGAGTCAGAATAACAGTGAATAGGATGTTAGCCATAGATGTAGAGTTCATTAAAAAAAATCTTTATCTGAAACTTGTATATAAAATAAAAAAAAAGGGTGAAATAGAAAGATCACAGACAATGAACAGTGGATGACTGTAAAACGAGCATTATAGATGGATAAGCCTAAATTTCAGGTGTTTGGATCAAGAGGGGAAACATTTAAAGCAGGGAAATCTTCGTTCAAGCATAGGGTGGGCAAAGTACTGGTATGGGGCTGAATGACGTTGGTAAAGTGATAAACCTATACAAAGTACAAATAGTAATTATTCAGAAATGATACCAAATGTATTTTTCATATCAATACCTTGATTGGTATATTACAATTATTATACAGGATTTTTATAGCGCCAACAGTTTGCGCAGCACTTTACAATATAAGGTAGACATTACAATTACAATTCAAGACAAGATGGTAAGAAGGGTCCTGCCCGTGAGGGCTTACAATCTAAAGGGAGGGCAAGTGATACTTGAGGAGGTAGCTGTATGGGGGGGGATTGGTTTGAGAACCTGATGATTCAGTGGTTGCTTTGGAGGTGGGATAGGCTTCCCTGAAGGGATGAGTCTTAAGCATTGCCTAAAGGCAGTCAGAGTGGGAGATAGACGGGCAAGTTAAAGAGTTCCAGAGGATATTATATATAT